TGGAGACGATTTTCGAGCGTTTTTCGGCCCTTTGACCTTCTGGACCCTTCGGTTGAAGATGACCTTATATTTTAGTCTGACTCGCCTTTATTAGTCATATGATCACATCTCCTTAGGTTTTGTACTTTATATATATATATATATATATATATATATATATATATATATATATATATATATATATATATGAATGTCTAAAAACAATAATCTACCAAGACAAAAACATAAGTGACCAAACCACATGCTATTCGGACTCTTAAAAAATTGTATTATCTATTTTGATAATTTTATTGGAACTCGATCTGGATAGATTTTGGCATATAGCTGTTAATTTGTCTCATTTTTCTATTTCACTTTTCACGTTATTTGATTAAAATTCTCTTCTTTTTAAATTGTTTTCTTACCAATTAATCCTTGTGTGATTGTTAAAAATTAAGGTAATTTAAAATAGACTTTTTAGCCAAAATGATATTAAAATTGCGAGATTGACGTGTTTTTTAAGTTTGTTCACTATCAATTATTTTGATCATTTAATGAAAAATCTCCATTATATAAGAATAAAATGACAAAAATACTCTTAAATTTTGTCAAATCATTTTGACTAATTGTATTTTAAAGTAAGGGTATTTTTATCATTTTGATTCTTATTTAATAGATTTTTTCACAGAAAGACTAAAATGATTGATTATGAACAATTAATTTAAATGTTAAAAATTAAAATGATGAGTTATCCCAATATCATAAACCATTTTGACAAAAGCCTTCAAAATATTAAGGAAAATCAAAACAAAACAAATAAAAATAAAAAAGGTCACAATTTGTTAGGCGTGTGATTTGAATGTTCTTGATTATTACGTGGCCTGTTCTTATTTGTACAATACTTTTCATCAGAATGAACAACTCTGCAGGTGGTCATCTCCATGCAATCCCTAATCTGAAGGTACGGAACTCACAAAACAAGGCTCATCAACGTGTCGGCATCTCCGTGGTCCATGATGTGTGCGCAACTCTATGAACCGTTGATCGGATCCCCTTCCCCTGTAAATAAATAAATAAATCGTTTCGGGAGGGTCCCTGGCTATCAGTGGTAGGGCTCGCAAAGAGAAAAAAAGAGGATAAGTGGGGCTCTTCTGATTCTCTCTCTAGGGTTTGTTTCCTCTCTCTCTCTCTCTCCCTCTGTTCCTTCTCTTCCCTCTCTTTTTCTTGTTCCTTCTAAGTTTCATAACTGTTCAAATTATTTGATTTTGCTTTCCGTAATTAGTTCATTAATCTTATCTAATCTAATCCTCCCCCGAAGTATGAACAGAGATTCAAAATCCCAGTAAAAAATCACCCTCTGTTCTTGCTCCGTTTCTGCAGCTAACCCAGATTTTTCCTGCTTTTAAATTCTTGAAATTTTCTCCTTTTTTCAGCTTGATTTTGTGCTTTTCCATCTGGGTTTTCTGGGTTGTTCAATTTTTCGGAGATTCTTGAACTCCGGCAGATTATTGGGTTAGGTTTTTGGTGAAGAAGATGAAGTCGAATCAAAGGCAGAGCCTTCAAGAAAGCAACGAGCTTGAACGTGGTGGCGACAGTAACCACCTCCACCTCAGGGTCCAGCCCATCAGTGGCGAATACTCCGGAGCAAAACTTTTCGGCGACGGTGCTGATGATGAAAGAAGAGCTGGCGGGCCCAGTGCAACAGTTAGACCAGCAGGGATCTCTGTCCATGGGGATTGTTCCGGTGCCCGTTTCTACGGCACCGAAACCTGCTAGGAGGTCGTCGAAGGACCGCCACACGAAGGTGGAGGGCCGGGGCCGGAGGGTCCGGATGCCCGCCACGTGTGCGGCCAGGATTTTTCAACTGACCCGGGAACTCGGCCACAAGTCCGACGGTGAAACCATTAGGTGGCTGCTGGAGCACTCCGAGCCTGCTATAATTCAAGCCACCGGCTCAGGCACCATCCCCGCTATCGCCGTTTCGGTCGGCGGCGCTCTAAAGATACCAACAACTTCGCCAGCGAGACCCAACGGTGAAGGTACTGAAATACCCAAGAAGAGAAAGAAGATGAGAGGGTCCCTGGGTGAGTTTGCTGACGTGCACGACCAGTCTAGCGGGTTGGCACCCATAGCACCAATGATTTACGGCGGCGGTGGTGGTGGCTTGGTGCCTATGTGGCAAATTGGAGCAACCGGCGCGGCTGGGCCTTTCTTCATGTTTCCGAACTCCGGGACGATTCAGAACCAGCCTCAGCTCTGGGCTATTCCGACGGCGGATTCCACGGCGCCGATTTTCAATTTCCAACCCAGACCCTTGTCCAATTTCGTCTCGGCCTTTCCAGCGGGGGTTCAAGTTGGCAGCGTTGGCGGTGGAGATGGGCAGTTGCAGGCCTCATCGTGTTCAATTCCGGGCGGCGCAGCCACGGGTGGTGGTGGGAGCTGCTCTTCTAGTTTGGGACACAGTTTGGAGTCGGCCTCAGGGACTAGTGCTGCAGCATCCGCCGCCGCTGCTCCGCGAAGCGCCACCACTCAGATGCTGAAGGATTTTTCGTTGGAGGTTTATGATAAGAGGGAGCTTCAGTTAATGGGGCAGGCTGCAAATTCACAAACGCCACGCTCAGAATCTTGATTTGGAGTTTTTAGTCAACTAATTTCAAGTTAGGGTGTTTTTTTCTTTCAGATTTTTAGAGGGTTTAGGCCTTTTTAGTAATGCACCAAAGAAGCCATTCTGTTTTTGTTTAGGCTCAAAGGTCTTTTTTGGCTTTCTCTTCTACTTTTGGCCTTAGGTTCAAGTTGCATTTCTTATCAAACTAAATGGAGATTGTTCAATAATTTTTATGTAACAAGCAAATTGACGATTACGGTAAAAAAAGAGACTTGACTTTTATGAGTGTATCCGTATCCGAATACGGTCCAATATACCGAATATTATAAACAAGTAACGAATTTTTTTTTTTTTAATTTACCACTCATATAATAAGTTAATTAACTACTCCGATGTGGCTGATGGACCTTATTCACAACGAGTCTGTGATGGAAGTTTTAAGTTTATGTTTCATGTCAAGCCTCTTTTTCCTTCGTTGAGCTTTTTCCCACTAAGTTTTGCTTATCGAGTTTTTTTTTTCTCAGAGGCATCATTCGGGTTTTTCTGTTCACATGCACGTTTATGTATGATTTGGATATTATTAAAGGAAAACTAATGAAGATGATTTGAAAATTTTGAGTTAAAAAAAAATCGATAAAAATGTGTTGTAAGTGAATAGTACATAATTGATTTTTTTAAAGTAAAAATGTGATTTTTCGTTAAAATAAATAGTACCAGAAGTTTTTCGTTAAAGTCGTCTATTATTAACGAAGTTCTTATTTATCCTAATAAAAATCTATTGTAAAAGAAAATAGTTCCATGTGGTTTGAGTTGTACACGTGCAAGTACGATGGGACCACACTAGAAAGTTGAGGTGGGGCGTGGATCAAGCCGAGTGGGTCAGTGTGGGCCATGGAGTGGGCTCATAGGATCGGGCCACGTGTCCATAGGAATGCGGATCCTTCTCGTTCTGTTCTGTTCTAACGCTGACTCCTCGTGGTGGTCCCTTCCCATCGTTCTGGCAGTCCAGGCTGTCCCGGCCTTTTTCATTTTTTTTTTCATTTCAAAATTTTAAATTTTCAATTGAGAAGAAGTAATATAGTAATGTAAATGATGTAACAAATGAAATTTTTTCAGTCTGCCGAGAACACAAAATTTAAACAAATAAAAAAAATAAATATGTTACTAAGATGTTAAAAATGAGTACTCAAAATATTAAGAGCTTATTGGGTTTCAAAAGTACATAGTTTTCCCTTTGGAATGTATTTGGACTATTCATGGAATCAAACGAGCGTGCATTTGACACCGTTGGAAATTTAAGTAAATAAACACATATAATATGCTACTCGGAATATAAGAACGAATACTTAAAAGTTCAAAAACTTATTAGGTATAAAAAATAAACAGTTTTTCCCTTTTGTATTTTATTTGGACTGTTTTCTACATTCATGGTATTAAATAAGCATGTGTTTGATATCCTTTGAATTTCTAACCAATTGAATTATGTCGCTTAATGTACCAGATCATGTCCCGGTCCACTACAAAGGGCGTGGATCCTCTCCAGATCCATGTATCTTAATCCACCAAATTCATGTATCTGAGTCATTTAAATTTGATACAACGGCTATAAACAGAGACTCACTTTAACAATTATAATAACTTTAGCCATTAAATCACATTTCAATGATCCGGATACATGAATTTGATGGATTAGGATACATGTATCCGGAGAGTATCCATGTCCCACTGCAAAATCTCTTCTAACAAACAAGGGCTAAACCCTTGCATATTAGGCTCTTCTGATTGTAATATTGTTGGCCTCCCACCCAATTTATTAGACGAGGTAAACGGGTTGGGTCAGTGCACATCTAAAAGGCCGATTTAACTTTTACCAAACGGGCTCATAAACGTATCGTCCATAGCATGTATGAGGTACGTGCGCCTGGAAAAGCGTTGAACATGTGTACTCAAAAGGCACTGGTTGGATTTGGAGATTCCATTATTCAAAAGGCTTTTTCAATTTTTTTTCCCAGTGATATGAAAGGAGAATTTTCACTTATAATATGAGAGAAATACTAGTTGATCGTAATTTTTATAATTTGTAATTGATTTTTCAAGGGTAGACTTGTTTCAGCACTCCTACCATAATCCCTTTATCATACCAACCATTCATTTTTTAGCACTTATCACGTTCATTCAAAGATAGATGATTGATGTCAGACTTTTGTGCGTAAATAGTATTAAGATGAGTTTACTCTTTAAAAAGTGATTACGTGATCAATTCTAACAAAATTAACATCACATATGATATTTGATCCAAACAAAACTAATAGGAGAAAATACATGAAAAAAATTGAAAGTACGAAAAATCACCACCATAAAACAACACATAGACAAAACAATGAGCTTGGAATAAATATATTTACAATTTTTCTTCAAAAGGCCCAAAAAGCCAGTGGTACAAAATACATATGATTATGATTCAATTGAAGAAATACAAATTTTTTCAACTCGTCAATTGAATAAATAAAAAGTCGAAAAACAATGGAAGCAGTACTCCGTCGCAAAGCAGGGTCGTCCGATCCCAACTCCGGCGTTGCAAACTCTCTAAAACTACAATAAAGTTGGATACTTCGTAGAGTTTATGTCACTCCGCAAATGCCAGTTCTCCTTCTTCCTTTTTTCCAGTTCTGAAATCGCGCTCTCAAGTCCCGCCTTCACAAAGTCGTAAGCTTGGATATCGGTTTCTGGTTCCAATGGAGCTCCCCGTACTTATCAAAACAGACTTTGTTTAGCTGATTGGATTAGACTATGAATTTTACGAAATGGGTTCTCTTAGATATGATCAATAAATGCAGTGGCTTCCGGAGTTTCAAGCAAATCCATGCACAGATTTTAGCTTCTGGGCTAGCTTCCAATGACTTGGTTGCAAGCAGCGTGGTTGGATTTCTCGGAAAATCAGTTACTTCTGTTGATTACGCTTGTGATTTTTTGAAACAAATTGATTGGCGCGAGAGCTCGTTTCCGTTCAACTTGTTGATCTCCGGCTGTGCGAGCGGAGACGCGCCGCGGGCGGCCTTTTTGGCATTTAGAAGGATAGTGAGAGATGGGTTTTCACCGGATATGTTTACCGTCCCGGCGGTTATGAAATCTTGTGTGAAGTTTTCGGGGAAGGGAGAGGGCAGGCAGGTTCATGGGGTGGTTGTGAAGATGGGTTTTCAATGTGATGTTTATGTGCAGAACTCGCTGGTACATTTCTATAGCGTTTGTGGGGATTGTGGGAGTGCGGTCAAGGTGTTTGATGAGATGCCTGAGAGAGATGTGGTGTCTTGGACTGGCTTGATATCCGGGCATGTGAAGTCGGGATTGTTTGATGAGGCTATGTCTTTGTTTTCGAGGATGGATGTGAAGCCGAATGTGGCAACATTTGTTAGTGTGCTTGTGGCTTGCGGGCGGATGGGGTATTTGAGTGTGGGGAAGGTGATTCATGGATTGATCTTTAAGCGTTCGTTGGGGACAGATTTGGTGGTAGGCAATGCTGTCTTGGATATGTATGTTAAGTGTGAGAGTTTATGCGATGCAAAGAAATTTTTTGATGAGCTTCCTGAAAGGGATATTGTATCTTGGACGAGCATGATAAGTGGATTGGTGCAGTGTAAACGTGCAAGAGAGTCATTAGAGTTGTTCCACGATATGCAAAGTTTAGGCATCGAGCCTGATAAAATTATACTTGCTAGTGTGCTTTCGGCTTGTGCCAGTCTTGGGGCTCTTGATTGTGGAAGATGGGTGCATGAGTATATTGATCGTAAGGGTATCCAGTGGGATGTCCATATTGGAACATCTCTGATAGACATGTATGCGAAGTCTGGCTGTATACAGATGGCATTGCAGACTTTTGACGAATTGCATTGTGGGAATGTCTCTACATGGAACGCATTGTTAGGTGGTTTAGCAATGCACGGACATGGGCACGAAGCGCTGAAAATTTTTGAAGAAATGACTCGGTCTGGACCTAGACCAAATGCAGTGACATTTCTAGCCATTTTGACTGCCTGCTGCCATGCTGGTTTGGTTGATGCAGGCCGTCGGTACTTTTATCAGATGATAAGCCAACCTTACAATCTTTCCCCAAAGTTAGAACACTATGGATGCATGGTTGATCTGCTCTGTAGGGCTGGACTCCTGGGTGAAGCTCGGGAGTTGATAAACACAATGCCCATGCAACCCGATGTGCTGATATGGGGAGCTCTCCTGAGTGCTTGCAAGGCCGTAGGTGACGTTGAGCTCTCCCAAGAAATATTAGACGCTCTCCTGAAACTTAAGTCGCAAGATAGCGGGGCTTACGTGCTTCTATCAAACATATATGCAACAAATAGAAGATGGGGGGATGTAATAAGGGTAAGGAAGTTGATGAAGAGGAAAGGAATACAGAAGTCCCCCGGATCGAGTGTTATACAGGTCGATGGTAAGGCTTATGAATTTGTAGTTGGAGGTACCAGCCACCCTCGAAAGGACGATATCCATATACTATTGAATATCCTTGCTAAACAAGTCTATCTTGAAGGGTTTTTTCCCATCCATTCCTGATAAGATAGGTATTTACTATCATTTTTCTCTTTCTTTATGTTATAAATTCTGATACTTTAGGAAGTGACGTAGAGCGGGTATTCGATGATTTGAAGAATATTCCTGTATAAACTTGAAATTTTGCAAGGATTAGATTTAGGAAGCAAAATATGAGATTACATAACAAGCCAAGCATGAAAGGTTCTGAAACTCTTTCGAAATGGAAAAGGTTCTGAAACTCTTTCTGTGAAAGAATGAAGCATGTGTTTTCCCCTGACAGTTAAAATTCCATATGTACAGAATCTTCTCTGCAATGATGTTTAATATCCTACAATTCAGGACCAATTAGAATAAACAAATGTATAGATATAGATACAGATATATATTATACTTAAACTTCAACTGTTTTCTGATTAAGAGCTGTATATCTCCATCTCTCCTTCTCCACAAAGTCTGCATCCAGGAACTGTGCAACAAATGCCCACAGCCTGTATACGTCTTCAAAGTTGGCCAAGAATCCGAGTGCAGCTGTAACCACGGTAATTCCTAGATCAGGTTTCGCCTTGGACTTGTTAGCATCCATTCCCTTCGCTCCGCTTTCTCTTTTCTCTAGGATTCTCCCTTTCTCTTCAGCATACTTATCCGAGAACCAGATGTGGTGTAAGAATCCATAGCTAAGAGAAATATTGTTCCTGTCGGCAAGTTTCTGTACGAGAACAGGCTCTACCTTCTCTCCATTCCAATCATATACATTGAATGCCAGAGCTGGTCCCCTATCGAATTTGATCTTTGGCCCATAGATTTTTACCAAAGGAATTCCCTTGCTGTTAGGATGATTAAGCTTTCTCAATGAGCTCACCAGCCAATTGATCAGGTACCTTGCCCTGTTAGTGATCACCATTAGCCCCAGTGAATCCACTTGATCCAGTCCCCTGCATACAACCTCTAGGTTCCCATTACCGCTGCTTCTGGAATTCTCGTCCTTCTCTGAAGATATTTCGATTTCTTCCCAGTTTGCAGCTTCTTCAGCTCTCTCAGGCCGTTCTTGCTTCAATCTTCTTGTCGGTGTTGACTGATTGGATATCAGACCGGAGAAAGAACTTGCCGTGCCTAATGCATCTAGCTGCATGCCAAGTCTGGATATCTGCTCAAGCTCTGTGTCGGTACCGGAAGAATCCCCTGCTATTTGAAGCAATTGCTTTGCCGGGACAAGATTTACAATTCCTGTGCTCGTGGAAACTTCTAGGACCGAAACAGCAGATTTCTTGACAAAGAGGCATGCAAAGCCTGAAGGGTTTTCCCCACAAATCTTGTAGAAGGAAGAAATGAGGAAATCGGGTTGAAAGAGAGAGAGGCCGAAGCTGTCCATATCTTTTGGTCCTAATGCACAAGCATCAACCAAGACGTGCCACCCGTTCTCCTGCGCCATGGTCATCCATATGTAAGGATACCTGGAGCCTGTTATCCTAGAATGTACCGGAAACATGAAAAGCCCCCTTTTCTTCTTCTTCTTCCTCTTGCTTACGACCATCTTCCTCAACTTGGCCGACTGAATCCTCAGCCGGGGCCACGAAAACTCCGCCGACATGACTTTGGCTCCTCTCTTTTCGGAGCTGTTAATCATCCCTTCCACTGCCTCACTCTCGTAATCATACACCGTCAGCAGCTTCCTACTGGTCTTGAACGGGTAAGATTCCGCCACAAGTTTAAAAGCCGATGTTCTGTTGGCAGTGAAAACCATGCTGTAATCATTTTCTGATATGTTAAGAAAATCCATAATCCTGTTTCTCATTGCAGATTCCAGCTCTGATTCCTGGCCGCCATGAAGCAGCTGCGTCTTCAAACTCCCTGTCTTGTACGACAAACTAAAGAAGGGGAAATCCGACCTCACTTGAGAAGAGGATTCGTGATTGTGCAGCTGAGAAGAGGAGAAGAGGCCGATGCCAATATAATCAAGGCAGGTATGGTTTGACTGTGAGAGATGGTAGTACTCTTTAGCTCGTATCCGATCAACTTCCGCAGTCTCATGGTATTTGGGATAAACGTTGGTGAAGTCAGCGAAGGACTCGTGCAAAGACGGGAGACACTCGTGGTTGGTGAACACGGTGTTTGGGAATATGGATGATGAAGTCGTGGCTGCAAAGTCGCGGCGACAAGCTGCAGAAGTGCTTCCGGAATTGGACATGGTGCGGTGGTGATGCGCTGACAGCTTCTGTAACGGGTTGGGGCAGCAGCCACTGAGGCATACTTCTGTGACCTCCTTCCAGCAAGGTGACTGCATCTCTCGCCCTCTCTCTCTCAACAATTTTGGTAAAGTGTGGGGATTTTGTTTGTTGTTTTGATTAAGTCTTCTGCTATTGGTTTGTATTTATAAGAAGTTATTTTTCGGTTGGAAAAAGGTGCAGAAGGTTACTTTGTCTTACCTGTTTTAGTTTGAACAGGTCGTGACACTTAAAGACTCTGCTTAATTAGGTGGCTTAGTTGACATTTTCTCTAGTTAATTTCATGTTTAACCAGTTATCAACAAGGCGTGCATAAGATCGTTATGACCTAAGGGATTTGGTCTCAACTGGTCACTTTTTTTTTTTGTTACACTTGACTGAATCGAATACTTAACCTATCTTAATTCTAATTTGTTACTCAACTTTCACTCACCACTTCAACTAACCGTAACGACTTCATATAAACCCGTCATTTAGTCAACAAGGCGTGCATCGGTATGATCATGATGCATTATAATGATCCCTCTAAACGTGCTTAACTTTAATCCTATAATTCCTAAGCACTACAAGTGTAATGTATGTCTTTTTGTGAAAGGCGGACTCGGGCAGAGAAAGCAAGAGGCAAAAGTGGAAGACAAAAGGGCTGTTTTTCCCTTTGTGGCCGGCATCATCGGTGTGGCCAACATTGCTTCTGTAATCTCTATGAATTCTTCCAACTTGCTTAAGCCTTAAGTTTGAATAATTCTTTTAACTTTCATAGATTGTGCCGATGTGCAAATTTTGGAGAGAGGATCATTGACGGATCCTTTTTTGTTAGGATTCTAGGATCCTCCAATCACATTTGTTCATCGTATATCGTGCGATTAATTTTTATCAGGTACTATTTATATTCAATTTTAAATAAAAAAATTTACAATAATTTATGATAGCACAATGTACAAAAAAATAAATATAATTAAAGAATTTCTACAATCCTCACAAAGATCCCGACAAATTTTGCATGGCAGTTGTACTAAAAACCAATTTATTTATTATTTCTTAAAGGCTCCAACTGTTTCAAACTAAAAACCTATTTATTTATTATTTCTTAAAGGCTCCAACAGTCTCAATTTGCTTCTTTCTGTTGATTGTGGCCAGAAATGCAATAGCTGTCTTAATTTTTGAGAAAAGATATTCTCCGGTTTTCTTTCATTAAGAACACCGGATCAAGTGATATGGACTTTTAAAATTTCATCCAACGGTCCATTTGTTTTGACCTCTTAAAAGTTATAATAATTTTTTACCGTTTGATCAAATTTTAAAGTTTTGGATCACTTGATCTGATGACCTTAGTGAAAGAGATCTGGAGAGGATCTCTTTTCTTAATTTTTGAAATAATTGGGGATAAACTTTACATTAAAGGCTGTTCTCTTCATCAATTGTGAAGGGTATGATTTTTCTAATTAATAATTTTTTTGTTTTGGACTTTTTAGCCAAAATAGTTTATTAGATTGGTCTAACTCTTCATTTTGGTCTTCGAGATTTAACCTAAGATTGTCTACGATCAATCATTTTAGTCATTTTGTGAAAAAATCTTCTTTAAATTGAAAAACCCACTAGTTCAGGGGAATGGGTTGACTGACAAAAAATAAACTTATTTTAAATGAAAATTCTCACAAATAAAAATGATTGACGGTGACAATCTCCGGACTATTTTTTTCGATTTTAAATTTTATAGACCAAAGTGAGAAGTTATGTTGGTCTCATGGATCATTTTGGATAAAAAGAAAGATATTTTTTCTTTTTTATATGTTATCGATAGTTTGAAATATTGTAACCTATGGGAAGGGGATTTGAGCTCGAATGCAACTGGGCGAGCACATTGTTTTGATCAACTGATCTGAAATACATATGCAACTAATAAATAATTTGATATTGTTTGTGAATGTGGATGGAAATGAGGAATGAGGATCCTCGTCGATTCTTTTTGTGAGGATTCTGGGAATCTTCAAAATATATCCGTTCATCATACATCGTACGATAAGAAATTATTGTAATTTTTTTATTTAAAATTAAATATAAACAATACTTGACGAAAACTGATCACACGATGTAAGATGAACAAATTTGATTGAAGGATCCTAGCCGAATCTTCACAAAGAGGATCCGACGAGGATCATTTTCGGATTCCTTTCCACCTAATCCACCTAGTATGGGATCCATATTGTTGAAATTTGATCCAATAATTATAGTTATTATCATTTTTAAAGGGTTCTTTATTTGTAATCGTTGTATCATTTTAACAGTTAGAATTCTGGATTAGATGGAAATGGATCCGGAAAAAATCCACTCTCTCGTAAATAAGGATCCAAAAAATGTTTTTACAAGGAGGAGATAATATTGGTGTCAGCAATCAACATCATTTTTTCAACTTCCAACAAATAATGGTTTAATAGCCACTCTATCTCTATCTAAAATCAGCGGTCCAAAATTGAATGGGTACAATGCCACTAATTTTCATAAAACATCATTTTCAAGCAAGAAATGATTAGAAAAAAAACTGACATCTACAAAAAGTTTCGAGAGAGAGGAAGCTATTCCATTTTAGAATCACAGCATATCACAAGCCTCTTTAAGAATTTTTATTTTTATTTTTACAAAACGTCTAACAAGAGAGATTATCGGCAATGAGATTCAAACTTAGACCTTAGTATACCAAAAAGAATGATTCTTACTAACTCAACAAACTCTAGTTGGCAATTAAGGACTGGTTTGGTATTGTTGTTCTTTGAAAAAAACTGCTTCTACTGTATTATGAGAATAAACTCATTTTTTTTGCTTCACATTTTCAGTTTTTTTTCACCAAAAACTGTGAAAATAAGCTGTTTTTAAGTGTTTACCAAACACATTTTTGAATTCAGCTTTTTTTATACCCATTTTTTATAAAAGTACATCAGTATCAAATCAGTATTAAGTTAATTTTCTCAATAATGGTTGGAATATTAGATATATTTTTAGGTTTAATTATGGGCTAAAAAGTGGAGCATATGAGCCAAGGTATTTTTTTTGTCCTTAATACGTACAAAGTGAGGAGAAATCCCTAAATTAGAAAAGAGGAAGTCAACAAAGGGAAAATCAGTATATTGCCGCTGCACTGTCCTAGACTCCTAATTGATGTTTTGGAATGATGAAAAAGCAAAAGAGAAAAAGATAAAAGTTAAAGATAAAGAAACAACAACCTTTTGATTGATCACAGCACACGGTTCACACCCGACACAGGTGTTTGTGTGTTTGTGTGTTTGCGTTTGTATTTGTGTGTGTATCTAGTTTAAGTTAAGCATGCAAGATTTTACTAAATCTCACTTGTTGACTCTGCCACAAACAAAATCTCTTTTTTTTTTTTTTTTTTGTTAAAAAAAATCTCATTTGTATGGTATAGGGTTTTGGAATTCCAAGTTCCAAATTTGTAAACAGAATAAGCCAAATGCGCTTTGAGTAGTTTGTATGTCTCAAAATAAATAAAATTTACTCATTCGATCATAATAAATATAATTTTATACGAAAAGAGTGAATATTGTTGGTTTCGATTTCAAGTTTAGATAGTTTATGGTCAGGATTTACAAATCAATTGGTTAAGAACATTCATTATTATATTTGAAATAAATTTTGATTTCTCTCTCTTCTTCAGCATTGTTTGTGTGTGTGTATACTATATATATATATAATCAACGAGTCTAGGTAGCTTGCTAATGCTCAACATTGGGCCACAAGGTATATTATAAGTATCACTCTAATATTCATTGCTTTTATACGTATATAAACATATAAGTACGGTTTTAATATATTCGTTGCTTCTAACGTATATAAAAATAAGGTAAGAACAATAATATATTTAGTCAGAAAGCTTTATCTATTTGAAATGTTATAAGGATTGTTGGGTAGTTTGCTTGCTAATGCATGCATACATATTCTAAATGTGATCAAGAATATAACCTTTATTTAATGGGCTTCCTAATAATTAAAGTATATGGTATATGGTTTTCGTCCAATTTCAATATCATACGTCTTTCAATTCTTTTAATTTTTCACATTTTGGTTTTCATTTTTTTTTTGAAACTGAAAATAGTTATCAAACATGATTTTAGTTTTCAGTTTTCAAAATAGTCACAATTGAAAACTGAAAACAAAATTGCTACGCCCCTTAATTTTTATTACAAGTTAATGTTCACGCATTTGGATTTATATTAGTCTATACTATCATGAGCTTTCATTTTTGATAGCTACACGCCTCAATGTTCATTCATGAAACTATTGCTTACAGTTAACACATAAGAGTTTCTCTAGTGGAACCGAAGCTCGAATTTAGAATTTGTGTTCAATTACTAGTCATATGCATAGCTTGTATCAACAAATATAAAAAATAAGCTCAAACTCATCCAAGCCCATTTGTTATTGCTTGGAACCTATGATTTATGGACTTAAATTCAAAATTTTGAGGGGCAATATTCTCTCTCTTTATTTTCCCTTTGGTCTTGTGTGGGCCTGGCTCATACAAGACAGCCCCATAGGCCGAATATGAACTGTCGGACAGCCTAATCATAAGATTTTAGAGCTAAAAAGGGTCTTAACCTCTCTTCGCCATGTGATATCCCATACAAAAAAGCGTCGGCATTCTCATGCAGTTGTAAGTAAAGCTCACAGAAAAGCAGTTTTTTCTTCTTCTTTTGTTTTAAGGTCAGAAGTGGAAGAAAGCAGCTGCAAAAACGTATGTCATGTTCTTCACGAGTTCTCTTCTACCAATTCTTATCTGCATACTGCAGTGAATATTTATGTATCAATCAATACAGCTTCTACATGATCATTACAGAGAATTAGGGTTTTGAAAAGATTACAGGACATTAAAAAGCTCAGTACATATTTGAAAATTTGTGAAAAGAACGACCGTAAAGTCTTCGAGAAGGACATTTTCAGAAAGATGGAATGGAAGTGGAACATAATATCACAGCTGACAGCCCCATAAAACGCTTCCAGAAGTGGGGGTATCTAGCTATAACCAAATATCACCCTAAACTATCAATTAATTTGCTTTCTTTCCTTAAACAACCTTACCTTGTTAGAAATATAAGATTGTAAGGTTGTGATGATGCCACATGTAAACAGATTAGCTGGTCTATTATATTTGTTAGAAGAGTCGGTTGGTTATAACTATAAATACTTAATCTTGTAATATTAAGCAAGATATCAATTCAATCATTTTTTTCCTCCTATTTCTCTGTCTACAATTCTCTTTATCTCTC